AACACAAGAATGGTCTCAGGCCTACAGACTCCCAAACTGTCTCTTTACAATGATTCCTTTGAAATAATTATTTCTACGAGTGGTCATTTAGTACAGGGGATTTAATACAGCAGGTTCATTAAAGAGAATCAGGATCACAAACTCATTTAAGTCTCCTTGAACCTGTTTAATCAAAATGATTTTCTGCTACTCTCTATTACAAGCCGAGTTTCTGTGGTGACAGATTAATGACTGATCCACTAAGCCACACCACCTCTCTTGTCACCAACTCTACTGACAGAGCCAGCCACTATTCTATCAATAAGCCCCATTTGCCCTTGAAACTCATGACAGCTGAGATGTTAAGATCAAAGGAGCAGATCAGACACTCACTGCCTCCCCAGTTCTGCTACAGAGACACCAAATCCCCCAGAGTGTACACCAAGAGGAGAAAGAATGCAGGCTGGTCCTTATGGTCTCATTAGAATTACAAACTCAGGTCACTCCAGACTAAGATAAATGCCAGCCAAGGCAACTTTCTGATTCTTCAGGCCTGCTCAAGGTAATTATCCTGGAGTTAAATGTCAAGTCTAGTTTCATGTGTGCATAAGAAAGAAAATGTCATGTTTGGTGTAAGCAACAATATTATTTTAATTACATCAGAAGCTCATTATTAGCAGAAGATAAGCCCTGATGTGACCCCTACAGTATGCCGTATCTACCTGGCTTCTGTTCCAGTTTGCCTCAAAGTAAGATTCTTCACTGATGGCCCTCAGACACGAAGTACGAAAGACTTACAACGTGATACCAAAGAAGCCTCACACCCTAAATCCACTCCACTCTTGACTGACTGCAAAACACAGCAAGAATCTGGAATCAGACTGCCTGGGTCCAGTCCAGGCTCTTCCACAGCCCAGCTCTGTAACTTGGGGCAACAGCCTCAACCTCCCAGTTGAAGTTGATAACGGTCGATAGCAGTACTTCTCCCCTAGGATGGTTATGAATTTTAAATGAGATAATATATGTAAAGGGCCTTAAACAATGTGGTTGGTTAACATCAGGTATTACCTACTTCTGTAATATTTTAATTTTTTAATTACAACCAGAATGTATGACTGTTATAAGAAAAAACTTCTCAAAAAAAAAAAAAAAGTAAGATAGAAATGCATGAAAACCTTAAAGTATTTCCTCCAGTAGACAAGAGGTTACTGAGCAAAGAAATCACATTATTTATCTTGTGCATGCTTACAGCCCACGCTGCCTAGCACATACTAGACAGTCAGATAGGTGTGGGAATGAATGTGCAAATAAATGTAAAAACGAACAGAGGAAAATTTCCTTAGAGGAATGACTATGAAAAGCAAAATCACACAGAAGAAAAACCTAGAGAATGACTGTAGCCTCTTGACCCCTCTATCTCAAACCACAGAGAAGTTAAATGTACGACCGTAGAAAACTGGAAATTATTGTACAACTTAACACAAACACCTGCCTTCTTCATCTTCTCCTGTGCAATACTGTATTTGTGCAAAAATCCCAGTCTCCATCTGACCAAAACATCCCAACAGCTCATCTTTATAAAAGAATGATGACCAAACAGACCACCAATTACATTTAGGAGCAAACATCTCCTAAGATCTCAACATTGTTCTGTTTCTCCTGGATCCCTCATTCCAGGCAACAAGCCATGGAGTAGTTCTGAAAGTTTTGTTTCTGTAAAGGAGACAGTGATTAAGTGTGTACCTAGAGCAACAGGACCACCTCAAAGTGCTAAGTAGTGGCTCTCAGGTCATCGTTGGCAATGCCACAGGACATTCAATGCAGGAGAGCAGGGAGCACACAGCCTGCCCATCACTTCCATTTCCAAGTAAGCCCAATAACCATCACCAAAGCATATGATCAACATTCTAAAAAGAGACTTTAGGACCTCATTTTCAGTTTCACAAGACCAAAAATCACTTCTAAATCTTTCTTCCCCAGGTGCCTGGGTGGTTCATTTGGTTGAGCAGCCAACTGTTGGTTTCAACTCAGGTAATAATCTTGAGGTGGTGAGATCAAGCCTTACATCGGGCTCGGTGCTCAGTGGGAGTCTGCTTGGGATTCTCTCTCTCCCTCTGCCTCTCCTCTCTCTCTTTCCTTCTCTCTTTCTCTCTCAGAAAAATAAATAAACCTTTAAAAAAGAAAAATTTAAAAAATTTAAAAACAAATCTCTGTCCCCTGAGGCAACAAGCTTTTTTTCACAATGATTTTCAAATATTGACAAGCACCATAACAGTAATCTCAGGACACAGTCTCTATAAGTTATCAGAGGCCTCAACAAAACAACTAAAACACTAGCAGAGAAGCAAGCTTTGTCGGCCTTAAGCAAGACCTGGCTTAGTGCAAACAATCAGGCTGGCTGGGCAACTGCCCCATTAGCTGGGTCTTCATCTACTGTCTACTGAACATCCAGTCTGTAGAGCAACCAACCTTTGTGGCCTGGTCCCAGAGAACAGAGGCTTTGTGGTTACTCCAAGTAAATGACCCAATGAAGATGCTTTAAGGTGGAGTCAAGGAGTGTCTAGTTTGAGTTTCACAACTTTGAAGAGGTTACTAGCCACAGCTGGTATCACAAGATCCCATGAAGCATATAAAATGGTTGATGATAAAACCTGTCTGGGACTTTCTCAACATTTTGAGATGTTTTTAAATGGTATGCTGGATAAAATGATCATTTTAAAAGAATATATGCTCATAAAAATCTTAACACCTAATATTCTCCAGAAATAACAAAAAATTCTCCAGAAACAAAAAAGATTTCAAGAATGCTTTGAACACAGAAGCATTTCTCTTATTAAGTTTCAGACATTTCTACAATAGTTAAGGCAGTCTTTCCTAAACATCGTAAGAATTACCTAGAATGTTCGTTTAAAACAGAGTTTTCCAGCAGTCGTTCCGGAAGTATGGAATCAGGCTTTCCAGGGGAGAAGTCTGCATGCTAGAATTTAACAAACACCCCAGGTGAGCTTCATGATACATCAGGTTCGGGACAACACTGACCCATGGATTAAAAAAATGTCACCATTTGCAAGCAAGATGAGAAATAGAGATGCTCAACTTTTAAAAATTTAAAGCTTAATGGGAAATAGGAATAACGTCGTGCTTATGATACACCAAGAGTAGAAACCTTTGAGCAGACACAAAAGCACAGTAAACCTTTCCACACCCTGAAGGCCAGCAAGCACAGGTGTTTTCAATCTGACCCAGGTGCCAATCTAACCAAGGCATTGACAAAGGTGTTCCTTCTCCTTTACATCCGGCCCAATTCTTCCGCCTCTAGCTGAAGTAAGCAACTGCCTTGTCCCTCCACTCTATCCAAAATGGAATGATAAAATACATTTTATTTTTTTTTAAGATTTTATTTATTTATTTGACAGACAGACATCGCAAGTAGGCAGAGAGACAGGCAGAGAGAGAGGAGGAAGCAGGCTCGCTGCTGAGCAGAGAGTCCGATGCGGGGCTCGATCCCAGGACCCTGGGATCATGACCTGAGCCAAAGGCAGAGGCTTAACCCACTGAGCCACCCAGGCACCCCGATAAAATACATTTTAAAATGCAAAATTATTTCTACCCTATTGAGTCCGCGAATGAAGCCTTCTTTGGGGGGCACCTTTTGGGCAGTTCAGCATCTTTTTCAGCCTAAGGCAAATAAAGTCATCACAGGACTCTTCCGAACGGAACAGAAAGGGGATGCCAGATGGTTAACAGAGCAGGTCAGGAACAGTGGGAGGTGTGCCAGGCATCTCATGGTTGGGAGAAGCAAAGAAGAAGTCTGCTGCCTAAGCCAAGCTCAAAATTACTGTGAAAGTTCATTGAAAGTGTTTGAAAGCACGTTTCAAAGAGAAGCAGCCCACAGTCAACTAAAGAGAGGAGGAAGAGGAACAGAGAGAGGAGGGAGAAGCCCTCACTGGAGACTGTGGGCACACCTGCTCCTCAGGGATGGGACCCGGAGAGATGCTCTTTACAAGTACAAGCAAATATCTGGATTCACTGAATTTCCTCAGACTTTTCTCCTGCAAAGGTGTGAGGCTACCAGAAACAGGGCTAGAAAAATCCAGGAAAGGGAGGGAGATCCCCGCACATCTCTCACCTAAAAGAACCCGGTGACAAGAACAGGGACTCTTGGGGCAGATCTGTCTCAAGGGCAGGAAACACTCATGTTAAGTGTCATACAAGTTCTCTCCCAGTCCCCTCCAAGCGCATGGCCCCAGCTACCTGGGAGAGCCTCTAGAAGAGTTGTCAGCAGCCCCCATAGCACCTGGGGCAGGGGGAAGGGAGTTGCCATCTGCTGGAAACACTGTGCCAGGTGTTTCTTGTCCTGCATCCTCTGGGACATACCTGTGGAACAGCAGCCCGCCTTGGGGACAAAAACAGGCAGCAGATGTGCCTGCCGGGGCTCCCCCAGAGGGCAGGAGACCAAACCCATGAGCAGTCAATCTACTCCCTTTCCCCTAAGACACCAAGGGTCAAAACCAACACACCTCCCCCACACTAGTACTGTCAACATTGAATGAGGCCCATTGCCACGACCCTCCAAAGCTCCTAGAACACCTGTCTCTAACACATCAGCTGAGCTCAGCCCCAAGCCTAACATCTGTAGCATGGAATCTTCTGGCACAGCCTAGAGACTGTCTAAATCACTGCTGCCCCAGGAAGGTTCTCTAGGGCCCTCGGTAAAGTCAACCATGAACATGAGGGGGACTGAGAGCCTGAGGAAGCCTCTCCGTTCAAATTCTGTTAGTCTCCTCCCCGAGTGATATGATAACACACACCTGGACCACAGGTCGCAGGCAAAGAGCATCAAGCCTTCGAAGTTGTCTTTAAAGTTCGTCTCCCGCGAGAGGCAGCCTCCGAACCCCGACCAACGAGCTGCGGTGAGCAGGTCTGCACCAATGCCCGCTCCACCCCGCCCCAGAGGCCCCCAGTCTCTGAGAGGCTCCCCAGCCCCCGCAGGGCCCGGCAGCAGCAGCAGCGGTACTCACGTCTCGAAAGCGGTTCCAGTACTTGTCCCGGTCGTACTGGGAGACGGTGCTCAGCCACTGGTCATTGTCTAGGAAATTGCCGTTGTTGGGGCCCGCGCCGCCCGCCAGCGCGTCCAGGTGCCGGCTCTCCACCTGGAGGAAGCACCACGCCGCGGCCGCCGCCGCCAGCACCGCGATCGCTGGCATCTGCGGGCAGGGGGCACGCCGGGGCGTGAGGCGGGAGGGTAGGGCCAGGCGAGCCCCTCGCGCTGCACCCGGCTCTCGGCGCCTCGGCGACCCGCCCGGGCTGTAGGGACTGGGCATCTCACCGCGGGGAAACGGTCATCCCCCGCACACCCGGGGAGCCTGTCGCGGATCTGGAGACCCGGGGACCCCTCTCACGAATGGGGGGCTTAGTTTCAAATGAAGAGGCTGCGTCACAAATTAGGGGCTGCTACCAAACTACAGAGGACCCCTGTCGCCTATTCTCCGGATGCCCCACAGACCGCTACTCTCAGATCAGGGTTTTCAGCACCCCTCCCTAAAAACCGGGAGCCCGGGATCCGCAAGCCGCACTCCCACAGACGGTGCCCAGAGCTCTGGGGTAGGGAGCGGGGAGAACCGGGCTCGGAGCAGCAGCCCAGGCTCCGGCTGAACCGGGCGCGGGTTGCGGGGAGGATGTACCCGCGGCGGGGGTGGGGGTCCCCCTCGCCCGCCCTGCCGCCTCGGCACGAGGGGCTCGCGGAGATACCCCCAGGCCCTGACCCTGCCAACATCCCGGTGGCCGCGGGGAGGTCCCAACTACGCCAAGTTGGGGCGCGGGGCTCCGCGGGGCACGTACCGTGGGGGCCGGCCCGGGTGCCCGCGTCCGAGTTGCTCGAGCTCGCGTGGTGCGGTCGCGGAGGAGGCTGATCTTCCGGCTCGCTCTCCTACGCTCCTGCCACCCGCCGCCGCGCGTCCGGCCGCTTTGTGAGCCCGCAGCGCTCTGGCTCCGCTCGCTCTCCAGCTCTCACGGGCGCGGCGACCGCGGGCGGAGGAGCCAGAGCGCACGAGCCGAGGCCTCTGGCGACCCCTGGCGGCCGCGCGCTGCCATGCCGCCCGCCCGACAGCCGCGCCGCCCCTGGGCCGGGAGCCTGGGACGTGGTTATCCACAGCTCAAGGCCGGGCTGAAACCAGTTTTCAGGCTCAAGCAGCTGACGGCGGGCGGAGACGAGTGAGGATACAAGGCCGAGAAGCCAGCCAGCGTTTAGACATTCTCAGAAGGAAGGTCGTCCGGGCCACCCAGGTCAGACTCACCTAGGTCGGGGGAGGAGAGGCCTTCTTAAAAATGCAGATTCCTGCCTCAAGCTCCAGACCTGCTGAATCAGCATTCCTTAGGAGGGCGCCCCATCCCCTCCCCCCTCCTCCCAGGTGAGTGAATTTCTGCCGTGGCCATTCCTGGTCGTGTGCCCACCTGCGTCTCTGCACTTCCGTGCCCCATGACTCTGCCCACGTCTGTCAGTGCCTTAAAACAGTCCGTCTGACCTCCATTACTATAATGTCTACACCCTTCTTTCCCCACGGTGGACCTGTGTGTATCTTTTCGTGTTCTTCTGCAGAGAAACCCATGTCTGCTTCTGTTCCCATCCCTTGAGAACTGGCCCCGGCACCAGCCTGTTGGATTTTCCTCGAGGGCAGGAAGGAGAAAGAGGAAAACTAAATCAGGCTTGGAGGGGAGGAAAGAGTGGGGCGCTGAACCTGACCTCCCCCTCCCCCACCATCTGGTTTCCAGGGCCTGGTCAAATAGGGCTGGAAAGGAATTAATGCAGTGCCCTGTGTGCATACAGGTGACACTCACCTGCTACCTTTCTCTTGTACAACCACACCCCATTCCTCAGACATCTGAGTGATACCTTCTCCCCTCTTCTGTCAACACAAACACACTTAAAACCATTTGTGGTACTTTCCTGATGAAAACCAAACTCAGAGTGAAGCCCCCAGACCCTGCACATCTGTCCCTGCTCTGGCTGCCTCTCATGCCACACTTTCCTCCTTTCCTGACTTCTTGGATAGGTTGGTCTTGGTACAGACCTAGTAGGAATAGGCTCCCCGCCCCCCCCCCCCAGCACGGGGTGCTCACTCCTGCCTCGGCCACTGTCCACACTCAGGCCAACATTGGCTTCATTAATTCACCTCTGTAGCCTATACATCCTGACATCTTCTGAGTAATGGTTGCTAAGACTCTTAGCCAAGACTTGCTAAGTGAGGCCCTCCTTGAGAACACATTTGTCCAGCTGTCAGCTCACTGCCCTTGAAATCCCTTTTCCACGTCTGTGCTCCCCACCTGGCTATAGCAAGGGGAGGACAGAGGCCATGTTTGGCTCATTCTTCTCTGCCCCCACTCCCCAGAGCCATGCTCCTGACACACAGCAAGGACTCAGAAAATAAGTGATGAAGGAGTGAATGAACGAATGAATGAATGGCACCCAGCTGTGGTCAGGGACCACACTTGGCCAACATTCCCCAACCTGCGTGGTGTGGTCAATTACAGGTCATGCCGCAGCAAATTTGGTTCCATGTCCTTTCAAGTGTGGAAATTGGATTGTGATGCTTCCTAAAAAGTAGCAGATGCTTATCCCAACATTGCTCTGACTGATTTACATTCCTAGAAGCATTCATGAGAGGGAGAAAAAGGAGTGGAGGCACAGCTATGTATTGGGGGCCCCATGTCTTCCACGGTTCCTTTTATTATGGAGGGATGTTCGGTATTTCAGGATCCTGTCCTGGCTGCATCAGAGTCAGAGAGAGGTTTAATGATGGAGAGAGCGTTTCTTAGTTCTCATAGAAACCCAACCAAGCAGCCACTTCGCCATTTCTCTGCCCAATTTGACAGCAAAACTTCTCCAAAGAGTTGTCCCCAAATGTCATTCTGCCTCCTCAGCTCCAGTTCTTACTTTTTTTCCGCCCACTCTCATGTGCTTTTCATCCTCACTGACTAACTGAAGTGACTTGTCACCATCGGCAACCTCCTCCAAGTCATCACACTGAGTGGGAGACCTCAGTCCTCCCCTTCTTGGCCTCCGAGAGGTTCCTAGAGGCTCCTGTGGCATCAGCCCAGCTGGCTCTCCCACTCCCTGCTGGGCATGCCCACCGGTCATTTTCAGGGCTCAGGCCTGGGCCCTCTACTCTGTCTACCCTGTGTCCCTGGGCATTCCCAGTCCTGTCCTGAGATGCGGCCGTTGCATTTCCAGCCCCAAAGTGTCTGGTGACTTCCAGCTGTACATCCAATTTCGTACTTGACATCTCCTCCAATGCCCTATGAGTATGTCAGACTGGACTGCGTGAAACCAGGAGTCTAGATTTCCCTCTGTGAACCTATGCTCTGAGAGCTCCCTATTACAGTAAATATAATCCCATACACATGACTGTGAAGGCCAGAAACCTGGGAGAAATCTTCTGTCCCTTATTTGTCCTCGCTACTCACCTCCTATCCAGTGAGCTGACCCGTTCCACTGCCCACCACCCCTCCAGTCCATCCACTTCGCTCCACCCATATGGCACCCCAGGGGTCCGCAACCACTGCTGCTCACCTGGAGGACCACACTGGCTTCTCCCTTAGTCTCCCCGATTCTTTCATTTCCCCTCCAATCCGTTATCCATTCAGGATAATCGCTTCCTAACAGAAATCATTCCCTTGGAAGAACTATTCAATGGCTCACCGTGACATGAAAACAAAACCCCAAACTCTTTCCCATGACTGAGTAAGTCCTGTACTATCTGGCCCTTCTCCCCCCAAGTCCCTGGATTCTCGCAGTACTCCTTGCCATGGTCTTTGCACACAATGCAAGCATGCTCCCACCCCAGGTACTCAGCACTGGCCGGGCGCTTGGCCTGGGATGCACTCTTCCTGCACTTCCCAGCTCAACTTGGTGTCACACCCCCTCAGGGAGGGCTTCCCTGACCACCGCATCTAAAAACAGGCCCTCCCCAGCCCAGCGCATCACCACTCTCTAGGCCTTGCACCTGGTTGTCCCGTAAAAGTATTTGGTTCCTTTGTCTCTTTTCCAGTCCAAAGGTTAATTCCAGGAGGACATACATAGTGTCTTTTTTACTCCTGTATCCCCCAGGCTTATCTCAGAGCCTGGCAGTCAACGTACACTCAATAAATACTTACCCATGAATGAATGAATGAATGAAGCACATTCCATCGCCCTTCATGCATTCCAAAGTTTGGAAACTGTCTAGAGGCATTTCCTTTGGTAGCCCTTAAATCCCTCGTTCTGCCTATCCAAGCTCTGCCTTTCTGGCAGGGCCTGTCCCCCATTTAATCAGAGGGCATCTGCTCTTGTCCAGTCTCCAAGTGCACGACTGGAACCTTCCCGGGAACCACCCACTGGGGTGGGCAGGGCAGCCAGAGCACCACGGGCAGGTGTGGGGGCGCTGAATCTGGCCGGAGCCGAGAAAGGACGTAACCTTGGAACAGGGGCAAGGAGGCTGGAAGCTGGAGACCTGCCATGAACACAGCCAGCTCTTGAGGGCAGAAATGTCAGATTTATTTGGCTGCGGGAAGTACCCGGGACCAAAATCAATACTGAGCCTTGGGGCTGTATTTCTGTTTTTCATTGGCTGACGCACGACTATAATAACTCCTTGTTTTAACATAGTTCTTCTTTCCAAAGTGCTCCACGTGTTTTATTTTCAGTTTAATGGAGCCTCAGACACATGCTCCTGGAGAGTCTGAAGCAGACATAACCATCACCGTTCTATGCTGAGGAGAGGGGAGCAGAGAAAGGTTAGATGAATTGCTGAAGGTCGCAGAAGGAGGAAGGCGGGTCTCAGAGTGGGAAGTTGTGAGTGTAGCCCCCACTCCAGGGTGCTCGGCTGGCTGCAATGAGAACCACCCATTGGGCTCCATGGGATAAAAGAGGCACCTGCGATACTCACCTTGTCATCAACCCAGATTAATGTTTAGCTGCAGCCTCCTATCTCCCTCCTACATGGCATCTCCATTGGGTCATTTTGCCACCACTTTGAATTCGGCGTGTCCAAATTGGAATGCCTGAGCCTTGCCTCCTCGTTAAACCCGCTCCCCACCCATGTGCCCACCTCAGGAAAACCAGCACCACCCCAAATGCCAGTGTCACTCCGACTCCCTCCTGAGCCCCCACTTTCAGCAAATCACCAATATGCCAAGTCCCCCTCGGCGGTATTTCTCTGCCCACTGCTAC